GACAACTATATGCAACTCCCTAATTTAAAATAAAATTAAAAATTAAATTAAATTAAACATATAAGTAAAGTATTTACTTAATAAATGCAAAGACGTCTTAAACTATAAGGAACAATATTAAAAAGATGGATAATATCAAATTATCATTTTCCTAATACTTATTAGTTTCCCATTAAACATCTCTTATGATACAAGGAAGACTTTGATAATGTTAACAATCTTTTGATGGAAAAACGAAATATATGATTTTGCGTAATTTATATTATGAAACTCTTGTAAATGAACTGCAATAGTCGAAAATCATGTGGACAACTACAAAATAATTACTTATATTAAGGGACAACTGGAAAAATGCTAAAATCGCAAAAGGACAACTATAAAGAATTTTGGACAACTGGACAATTGGGTACAATTATGTACAAAATTGACGGCGCACGTGGTACTTTGACGGCGCATATGTCTATTTTTATTAATTTTAATTGATTTTAATTAGAATTTTAAATTATATAATTATATCAGTTGTACCTAGTTGTCCAATTGTCCAAAATTTGTAATAGTTTGATATGTTCATAATTTGCATCATTTAGGTTGCATAAATCATTCCAAATCATGTTTTATTTCATGCATTTTAGGTCCTTAGGGTTTGTTTTAGAACTTAGGAGATGCATTAGGTCCCAATGAGTCTTTGCATGTTTTGAGTGTTTATCAGGTGAATTTGGAGCTGAAAAGATGAATCCAGGCAGTGGTATGGTGAGCAAAGCTTGAAAAGTTGCAAAAATTGGATCTTTGGAGGTTATCGGCCATTCTCGCTGACCAGGAAGGTTTTCTCGGCCATTTTTATGTACCGCGGGAAGAGTTTACCGGCCATTTTCATGTACCGCGAGTAAAGTGTATCGGCCAAAATCTCCGGATGCAAACATGTCTCAGAAATCGCCTGTCCGGGGAACCTTCCGGTCGATTCGGATGGCGGGTGCTTCATAGAAGTTGGAGAGGACTTGATCACGGTTTCATAGCAAGTGGAATCACGGAATTCGGACGCCTGAGAAGGAAGTTAAGCTCGTCGGAAGGAACCCCTGTATCGCTGTTGTTTTGGACCGAGCCGACGAGTTCTGAAAAATGCGAAGGACGGAGTACTTCCAGGCCGATTAAGTTTCCGGGGCCTTCAGGAGAACCAGAGACACTTGAGTCTTCTTTCCAGAACATCCGAGAACAGTCAATTCGGAGCTTTGGGCATAAAGATACGGTCTCCGGACTGGACGAATGTATAGACGGCCTTCTCTGATCGTGTAAATGCACTGAAAAGATGACCCCTCCAGGAAGCTTTAAACTTGCCAAGCACCGAAGCTTCCTTCATCAAAGTTGGAGTCAAATGAGTCCTCTGTCTTCTGCAACCGGAATCAATCAATTCGGACAAGTCTCCAGGAAGTTACACTCTCCGGAATGCGAGATGGTCCAGACAGCCCAGAATGACTAAGTTAAACATGCCGCGATGGAATGCCACGGTCCACACTTGGCCGTGACAACTTTTGCACACCCTCAGTGAATGACGCGATCTTCATGCCACGGTTTACATTTGACTGTGGCAAACACACACTTGGCTGAGAGGAACTTCTTGCAACCATTCGGCGATTGACACGGCCCAAATACCACGGTCTGAGGCTTGACTGTGGTAACTTCTTGCAACCTTCGGCGATTGGCACGAGCTGAATGCCACGGTCTGGGACTTGACCGTGGCAAATGAACAATTGGCTGGAGACAACTTTTACACAGATTCGAGTTTTGACACGGTTTCAATGCCACGGTCTGAGACTTGACCGTGGCAAACAAATACTTGGCTGGGAAGGATTTCACATGCATGCGGGTTTTGGCACGGTCTGAATGCCACGGTCTGGGGGCTTGACCGTGGCAACTTTTACACATCTTCGGCGTTTGACACGGTGACTTGCCACGGGTTTCAGACGAAGCTTGATCGGACCGTGGCATCAAAAGGAACCAAGAACGCAAGTGAAGGCTTCGACACGGTCAGGTTGCCACGGTCACACCAAGAACACACCAGACCGTGGCAAACCCATCTTTGCCCATCAAGGCCGGGTCAGTACCCGGTTTGTTCCGGGTTGACCCGGTTCGCCCAAGTCATCTATATAAGGTTTTTAGACCTAATTTGTAGAGAACCTTTAATCTACTTTTAGTTTTCTTTCCCCTTTTGTGAAAACCTACTTAATACACTTTGTTTTAGAGAGCTTAATATCGATTTTGAAGTTTCTTTCCATCTTATTCATCATTTCTTATCATCAAATCAAACTTCTAATCATGATTAACAACACATCTTGCAAAGGATTTAGTGTGTTGATCATGATTAGTGAGTAGTCACCTTAATGAGGTTCTAGATGTGTAGGTTAGGGTGCTAAAGTGTTAGATTAGGAGTGCTTAGGGCTAGATTCATTGATTCATTTCTCTAAACAGCTGTTCTCTATGCTAGATCCTTGATAATCACTTGAGATCTAGATTCTGGGAATTTCATGCACCAAAAGTGTTTGATGAAATTCCTGAAAGAGTTGTATTAGAGGTTTAAGCATTTTTCTGCATGATGATGTATTGTTATTTGCTTGAATGATCATTGAGAAATGTTTATTAATGCATATTGATTCATATTTCACAAATGGGAATTTGGTTTGAAAATGGATTAGTATAGGGGTTACTACCTTCATGAGAGGATTAACCTAGATTAGAGTTCTTAATCATTTGAATCATGTCTCATCATTGTCATCAGCATTTCTAGTTTAGCACCAAAGCACCCTAACCAACTATCATGTCTAGAATCTCATGCCTCCATCATATCATATTCACATCACTCGTCATTGTCATTTGTCTTTAAACCTGTTTAAGTTTGTAGTTGTCTTTAGTTAACCAAAATCACTCTTGTTTGCTTGAATTAAGAACCTGATCACATAGTTTAGTGTCTAACACCACATCTGGATTGATAAACCTTTTTGTGCTACATTGACAAGGGGATTGATAGCCCTGAGACCTTAAAATGTCTTGTCTATCATAGTTGTCCTTTGATTGATTTTGTAGTTTTTTTAGTTGTCCTTCGACATAAATTATTATGTTCTAGTTGTCCACAAGAATTTCGAACATTATATAGCAGCCCCAAGGACTTTGCGTTATTATTTTTCTATTTTCTATATTTTTGCATAGACGCTTGCAGAAGATGGATAACATTGTCAAAGACTTCCTTATAACATAAGGGATATTTCAAGTGAAACAAAAAAAATTTGGTTCTTTGAACAAAACAAAGTTTTATTTTATTCTTTCTAGTATAGACGTGAAAAGATAAAGTTTTTAGAGTATGAGTTATATTGGTTTTTAAGTAAATAATTTTAAAAATTTATTTTTAACATTACAATTAAAATATAGTTGTCCCAAGTTGCACCTAGTTGTCCTGGAGAAATTCATAACGTAACCTAGTTGCACCTAATTGTCCTCGAAAAATTCATAACGTAATTGTACCTAGTTGCACCTAATTGCACAGAAGAAATTCATAACGTAATTCTATCTAGTTGCACCTAGTTGCGCACATGTTCTTTTTTGATATGATCGTGACCAGCTCAGAGGAGGAGGAACCAGAGGTAGCTGGCAGGATCACTCGGTCCAGAGCTAGAGAGATGGCTAAGGAGGCTCACGCACTCATTGCCACAGAGGACAGCGATCACCAGGAGGCTGGAGCTCACATCTTCAACATCTCTATCTTGAGGAATGAAGAACCCAGTAACAATGACTAGGTAACTTAGGTGATGATTCTGTACTCTTTTCCTTGGTGAGGATTTTGGAAGGCAAGGAGGTTCTTCTCCAAGGTTTTTAACGAGGCAGAAATCATTGCTACGTCGAGTTACTTAGAAGTTGTTACTAATGGGTAATAACGTGCAAAGTCACATTGACTTGTGCACTAGTTGTTTTAGGCGCGCCACTTAGGATTTAGAAGGGACGCCTCGCTGTTTTATTTTAAAATCAAGCTTCGTGTTGTTTTTATTTCAGACTTTATGTAGTTTTGTATTAGGGCTGCGATTTCTCTCTAAGTCTATTTAAGAGAGAAAATCGCCTAAGTATTATTCAGTGAAGAATTTTGATCAAACTTTTAACGTGTTCTTCTCTCTTTGATTTCTGAGAACTAAAAACTCTGAAATTCGAATCTCTTAAAACTAATCTGTTTACAAGAGATTCTTCTATCCCTCCATTCCATCGATCTCTCCATCATCTCCATCATCGATTCCTTCGCGAAGAGCCACACGCACCACCATATCGAGTCTCCAACTCGATCCGCCAGCCACCATCGTCTCTCATCGTTTCGACCATCATCATCGAGTCCCCACCACCATCATATCGCTGCATCTAATCCTCTTTGCTTCAGAGTTGATCACCTAGGATCGTATCACGTGGTATCAGAGCCAACTCTGAACCAAAGGCTGAGCGAAACTCTAACCCTAATCTCTGTACTTTTGAATTTTCGTTTCTGTGTTATTAGGGTTAGCGAGTTCTATACATAGTTGTACATAGTTGTACATAGTTATACTTAGTTGTCCATAATTGTATTTAATTGTACCATAATTATACTTAGTTGTCCATAATTGTACTTAGTTGTCCATTTTTTTATTTGAAAAAAAAAGTGAATAAAATAGAATGTAACAAAGAATGAAAAAAGATGGTTGATTTCTTTTATTTCTTCTTTTATTTCTTCTTGTTTTGTGAAGAATTCATAATAGATCAAACAAAACATCCAAGAACTCATAATAGATAACCATTTGCTAAACCTTCAAAGGCGACTGAAATTGCATAAAGAGACTAGTAAACTCTATGAGTCAGGAGAAAATCTGCATTCTATCATCAATTTTACAAGTGGAACTCTCTACATCCAGCGATTTATTACTTTCTTCATTGATCCCGGAATAGAGAGAGTTTTTTGGTCAGAACTAACAATCGATCAGCTCTATAAGATCCATCCATCACGACTTCATTTGATGGGGAGGGCGAGGGAGGATCGAATTTGCCAGCTCTTCGTTCACCTTCACCAGAAGAGGTGGCATCTGCTTCATAACCTCTGGCATATCATTCAAGCTACAACACACAATTGTTCAATCAACATAGCAAGCAGATATTTGAGTTAATAACACCAAACAATTTAAAACAACATATTTGTCGGAAGAGAGTGACATATCCCAAAAAAAAGCTAATGAAAGAGATATGATCTATAGATATATGGGCAAAAAAGTATTACTCGTTCAAGATTGCAAGGATATTGTCCCGAGCTTTGCACAAGATACTGACGTTCTCATGTATCTGCAACGGGAAGTTAGAATCTCTTAAGCGGATATAGTTCAAATAAATATATCCATCATAAGACTACTCAAAAGCCAATAATACAAGGTAAAGAAACAAATCCAGGCCCAAGGAAGTATACAAAACTCTACAAGCTGAAGGATAGAAGTTGCATTCACCTGGAAAGCTAAGAAATTTGATGAAACTTGATTAAACATCTGAGAATTTTGTTCGAGAAGATCTCCACTCACACCACCAATAGCTGCAAAGAAGCAAAGACACGTATGCCTCTTTTAGTCCAATCAAGAAAATTTTGATTCAAAAGAAAAGAAAAAAAAACTAGATTCTTGGACAAACCTTTATATAAAATGCCATCATCAGTATCTATAGGCATCATAGGAGGAGCATATGAAGGACCATTCAGATGCACATTCAAATGAGATGAAGACTTGGCTGAAGAATCTGTAGTTTTTTTCTAACAAACTGATTGTGAAAGAGATTAATTTGTTGATGTAGACTTTTAAATGCATCATAAGACGACCCAAGAACCTTTACCCGTCGAAATCACAAGTAAATGACTTAAAATTCAAGCTAGTTACACACTAGAACCCAATCAAAATGCTTTCAATTATCTTTCTTTTGTTTGTTGCTTTACTAGTATCAAAATTGCATATTGGAATTGAAATCCACGTACCTAAACTCCGTCTTTCATTTCTCTCACCGTATTTCTCTGGACTAAAGACCGTGCTCCCTGAACCCATTCTCAATACTCTTCCAATCTGTGTTTTAAAAAAGTTCTAACAATTTGGAGATCCAATTGAGCCAAAATTGAAGTGATTTATCTCTATGAGAAATAAAATCACCTGGAAATCTGATTAAGAGTAAAGAATTAAAGACCATAGAAAGATGAGAGAAAAAACGGTGAGAGAGAAGAGACAGAGAGATGGGAGACAAAGAGTGACTAAACGGCAAGAAGACAAAGAAAATGAACAGAAAAGAGATGATCGAAGTGGTGGAGAACATGAAAAGATTGAAGAAAATGAAGAAGATGGAGCGATGCAGGAGAAATCCCCATAAATAATATATATATTTTTTAATTATGAATTCAGGATATAATTATTAGGGGATAAATATCAGTTGGGTCGGGTTATAGGGTTTAGGTGGAATGGGTGGATATCACCCAGGTTTTATTGTAATTAAAGAGACAAGTAAGGGAGAGGATAGGATTTTCCAGGGTTTTAGATATTAAAAGAAAATCAAAATTAAATTAATTATTAGCTTATGGCATTTGGGCATACTTTTTTCTGATTTATGGCATTTTAGCCTGTCGCTCGTTTTCCGGCGTGTGCAGAGCGTTTTCCAGCGCGTGGAAAGCGTTTCCCGGCGTTTGTCTGGCGTTTGTCTAAGCTCCTCAAATAGGCAAGCAGGCTGCTGAGTCAAGCTGCTGAATTAAGCTGCTGAGTCATCGAACAGATTCTCCTGACCAACCTATTTCCGACCTTCCGATCGAACCGAAACAACCCACTGATCCATCTGCGCGACTAAATACTTGACTTCCTTAGACAAAAACTTAACTTCTATAGCTAAAACTTAAAGCTCTTGACCATTAACCTTAGCTTCTTCCTAGCTTTTCTAAGCTTTCTCATTGACCACGTCTTGATCTCTTGAACAGGTTATTACATTCTACTCCCCTTAAAAAGAATTCGTCCTCGAATTCATAAAGGAAACACCTCAGCTTCTTCTTCTTAATCTCTGGATAACTTAGACCAATTTCCATATTAGAAAAACTATTCCTTATCCTCTCCCCATTTACTTAATCTCTCAACCGATTGGGTGACAATTTCATTGCCAAACAAAACGTGGGTGGATTACACCAACACGTTATGTTCTTTCATATATATTTCATTTATATTTACTTTTCATCCATCACAATCAATAATCAAATCAATATAATTCATTTCTGAGTCAAACAACAATGAGTTAAAACCCATACGTACCTGAGCGGAGACCTTAACAGGTCAAGAAGTTTTAGGTTTATTCTTATCTACAAGATCATCAGGCCTTGCATTCATCAATGGCTTCAATGGAACGTTATCACCTGCCTTGAAAATATTCATCCATAACAAGGGTAAATCCTAATCCCATCTACCTAAATAGAGAAGTTGGTTGGTTTCCTAAGTGCCATTTGCGACTCATTTACTCGATAAAACATTAAAAAAGGGTGTCGAGTGAACATGGAGAACCATGTTCTGATACCACCGTTGTAACACCCCCGACACAGTCTAGATCTGAGTGCAATGACCGGCCGCGCAACTATCAAACAAAAACATGCACGGCCGACCGTTCGAATCCAAACCGGATTGACGGTGCTACTGTTGCGCGCACAGACTGATGACCCAAGGTTCTTAGCCGTGCACCAATCAAACAAGAACATGCACGTCCAAGAGCCTAAGGTCGACGTCCGCACATGCTGTTTCTACCAAACGCGTCTCCCAGCTTTTCAACCTGAGACGTGTCTGATAGTTGGTTCGTCTCGAACAAAGACTAAGTATCATTCAAAAACCCGACCTTTTATAAAACATATTTTTACTACATTGTTTGTTATACAATGGGCGCCCTAAGAAAACATTATACCGAAAACAACTTAAATCATACTTGGTTTTGCAAAAGGCACGAAATCTACACCAACGGTCCTAAACTTCTCTATTCCAATTGGCTACCTGCTATGGTCACCTGCAAAACAAGTAGAGTCGTGAGCACTAATTGCTCAGTGAGTTCGGTTCCCCCTAACCGTTCAAGCAACCCCATAAACCCCGATAATTCACACAGCACGCACCATGCAACATCAATAACAAGTACATTTGATGTAGGATAATACATACTTATATACATGCATACACCCAATATACACCCAAACGCCAAATCTCTTGGATGCCATTGACCGGATCCCGCAAAAAGAAAAATCTCACATTTTGCACAAATCGGACTCTAGCCACATAGGCTAAAATGTTGTGACTGTCTTCTCTTATGCATCAGTCATCAACCCGGGATTTCACATCATCAACTCAGGGAGGATCACATGGCATCAAACTCACATCTCTCATCCGCACGACACAAAAATATGTGCTAATGCACGTGCCGCGGATTCACATCGCAATGCAACACGCAATATACATATGTATATCTATATTTGCTTTGCAGTCAAACAACAAACAACCCACACTGAGACTCACCTTGGCTTTTCAAGACAATAACGGTTTCTTATGATTTTGGATAACCTCTCTGTTCACCTACACAACTGACTGTTCCCGACTAGCTACCCGACTAGGGTTTGCGCGGTGGTTCGCGATGGTCGACGGCGGTCACGGTTCGCTGAAACTTTTCTAGCAGAGCTTCACTACTCTTTTCTATACTGAAAACTAAATCCTAAAGCTTCTATTTATAGGGAAAGATAGAGAATCTAAAAAGATTCCCGAGCAGCTGTGTCGTGCTTGCAGAAAAGATTCCTGAGAAGCTGCGTCGTGCTTGCGTGTGGAGGCGTAAGCAGGTGTAGCAGGACACGGAGCTGCTGTGTCGTGCTTGGCGTGTGCCGGCGCATGGATAGCGTGTCCCGACGTGTGCAGAGCGTTTCCCGGCGCGTGCAGAGCATTTTCCAGTGCGTGAAAAGCGTTTCCCGGCACTTGCCTGGCGTTTGTCTAAGCTGCTCAAATAGGCAAGCAGGCTGCTGAGTTAAGCTGCTGAGTCAAGCTGCTGAGTCATCGAGCAGCTTCTCCTGACCAACCCATTTCTGACCTTCTGATCGAACCGAAACAACCCACCGATCCATCCGCGCGGCTAAATACTTGACTTCCTTAGACAAAAACTTAACTTCTATAGCTAAAACTTAAAGCTCTTTACCATTAACCTTAGCTTCTTCCTAGCTTTTCTAAGCTTTCTCATTGACCGCATCTTGATCTCTTGAACAGGTTATTACAGTGGGGATATATGATTTCATCACCCATCTTATATCTTTGAACGCATCAAGTAACTGGTTTGCCAAACTTTGCAAATGTATAATTTATGAACTCCACCTCACGTTTATTGGTACGAGGATTGAGATAAGCCAAACTTTATATACACTTTTGTGCTATCTTTTGGTGATTCTCTAGATCCTCCCCCTCAACGCAGGGAATTGATTTTTGTCAAAGTGATAATCGGAAAAACGTGCCTTAAACATATCTTCAGTTACCGGCTAAAGCTATCACCTATGGAATAATCCATTTTATTATACTACTCAAGAAAACTCTTCAGGAATTTTGATGATCATCATTCTTTATTTCAATCGAGTAGTGTTCCCGAGAACAAAATTCCAATATAATCCTTTAAGGATTAATTCCTCTATAGGTTAATCTTTGGTTCCACTTTTTTTTTTTTTGTAATGACATGGTAAATCGAGATCTCTTATCATCGATTTCATTCAGGTACCTGATTTTATAAATGATCGTGTCATTTAATCTCTTCAGGAGATTAATCCTCTTTCACTCTTTTTCTTTTTGAGGATTTGGAACCAAAGTAGTCTATCACGTTTTTTACGTGTCATAGACTCAAATAGAACGTCCTTCAATGACATCTATTTTAAGTGGAGCTCAGCTGGGATGTGAAATTTCTTTTTCACACAATATGAACTTCAGGTTCATATGAGGATCCATCAGCTGTTTTCTATATGCCATACTGCATATTTTATGTCACGACATGGAGATCACCGTAATTGGTTTTGCAATCCTTGAATTTGCTTTATTTTAAGCTCATTTCGAGTGCGAACATAATCTTCTAAATGTTCAGCTTACACTCGATGTAGGATTCTTTAATTCCCCCCCCCCCTCGAGATGATGACACTTTTAATGCATATCCATCTCGAATTGAATCCCACTTTAGGATAAACTACATATCCATTGCCTTTAAACCAAAAGAAATGGTGATCCATCCATGGATGTTTTTCACGATGGCGTCATTTTTTTTCTTTGTGACATGCAATAGTTGAAAAAACTTCTGGTTTTTCAACATGTATTCTCAATGATCTTATATCATTAGAACTACCGGGCTGGCTTAACCGGTTTATTCAATTAGTAAACTTCAGGTTTACTTTTGTATATACTCTTGCCATCTTTCTTTTATTATCACATATATGCATGTCTCCATATTGTGTGCTTTTGTGGAGCATTTTTATCTCTTCCCGAGCTTCTAGTTCTTCCGGGGCTTAGCTCTTCCGAATTTTAGCTTTTACGGGGCTTTTAGCTCTTCCGGAGCTTCTAGTTCTTCCGGAGCTTAGGTCTTCTGGAGCTTAACTCTTACGGGGCTTTTAGCTCTTCCGGAAGTTTTGATTTTTTAAAACATGTTTCGATGTCTTTAATCCATATTATAATCGATAAAATATATCAGATAGTTAAACATAATAATTCATAATAATAACATACCTGGTATAGCTTCCATAGGTTTTGAAAACACCGAGCCTACCATAAAATAAGGAGGAGACATAACCCTCCACTCTATAATTTTGTGTTCATGGAGGAGACTTAACCTTCCACTCCATAAAATTTGATTAAGGACGAGGATTAAACCATCAACTTCATAATTTTATGATCACGGAAGAGGTTTAACCTTCTCTTTCATAAATATGTGATCAAAGAGAAGGCATAACCTTCTACTCCATAATATTAGTAAGGAAGAGATTTAGTCTTCCACTCCACAAATAAAGATATGGAGGAAGATTAACCTTCCACTC